TATGATCACAATGGTTTATATATCCTCTAAATGTGCGGCAATAACGATAAGTACTTTTCCACAAAGTTTTCTCTTTCAAGAAATACCTGACGTTCACAAATTGGAGAACGGTCCGGATAACCGTAGGATTGAACTCTTTGGAATATAAATCCACAATTCATTGTCTTTTTTACAATGACATGCACTAAGTAGCTTCTTTACTCTTGTGCCAGGAATTTGTACAGAATGCAACGTATGACTCCATATTTTCCTGGTAACAAGAGACCACCAATGTTAAAACCACTTTTTACTGACGTTTCGGCCACCACACCTCTTCCAAAGTACAGAAGGTAATGCACATCCAAAACAACAGAAGATAATCTCATGATCGCTTGTGGCTCTGAGAAGAACCATCTGAGAATTGAAAGACAGGAGCGATAAAAAGAAGGAAAGCAAATGATCTAATGGTTCATGAATGAATGAACCATTTGTTCTTCTGAAAGACAGACAAATACAGGGTGGCGCATCGAAAACGAAACAGACTGGCAGCTCAGTTTATTTTTTGAAAAACGCTCAGACCCGTCGATTTTGTTTTCGAGGGGCACACAAGTTTGGCAAAAAATCACGTTAGCACGTGCAGCCCCCTAAGCGGGGGTGACACCACCGCCAAAATCTTAAACGGAAAGGGGGGTCGAGTGATACCTTATTTTAAGGATCTTTCAATTCCCTTTATAATGATATAAAATTAATGTACTTCGGTTCAGTAGTTTTGAAGATTTATTGATTTAAAGCCTACATGAAACTAATTCATCATCATTAGTGGAGATCAATACATTTGGCAGCAAAATAATTTAAAAACGAAGAATGAACTGACCCCTTAGGCAAGTAAATGTTGAAAATGGCCACCACGATTCTCCATGCAATAATGTTCGAATAATTATCGGTGGATTTTTTGAACGACTTTTGCAGAGCTTGCTACGCTACTGTGTTGAGCGACAGCCAGCAATAAAGGGTAAAATGTAAATTAACTGCTGAAAGCTCATTGTTTTTGCGGGCAACGGATATGCTGTCCCCTAATTGTTTTATCAAAAACACATTATCCAATGACAGTGTGCTTTGCTACGAAACGGAATATTGTCCCTGTAAAATAGAGCTATTTGTTTTGACTAACACATGGTCATGAATACCGAGCACACTGAACTGCTACTAGATTCTATCTATTTATTGGAAATGTCTTTAGCCAAAGGGAAAGGGATGCGTTTTTAATGGATGAATGTATTACAGCAAGTTTGGTGCATGCTCGGATTGTTCGCACCCTCTAAGCGACCCTTTGCAAATGTAACTGGCAACCGCACATGTAGTTAAGTGCAAACAGACGTCAACGCGAAATTTTAAAAATTTTCAGAACAAAATTTATAAAATTTTCAAAATTTCCAAAGTTTTAAAAATGTGCTAACCTCAAAATTTTCTAACTTGTCAAAATTTTCAAAATTTTCGAAATTTTCTGTTTTCAAAATTTTCCAAATTTTCGAGATCTTCAAAATTTACAAAATTTTCAAAATATCTTCAGAATATTCAAAATTTTCTAACCTTACAAAATTTTTTAAGTTATCAGACTTAAAAAATTTTAGAAATTTCAAAATTTCCAATATTTCCAAAATTCAAAATTTTCCAACTTGTCAAAATTTTCGAAATTTTCAAAATTTTCGAAATTTTCAGTTTTCAAAATTTTCGAAATTTTCTAAATTTTCGACATTTTCAAAATTTTCTAACTATCCAAAATTTTCTAAATTTTCAAAATTTTCTAAATTTTCAAAATTTTCGAAATTTTCAGTTTTCAAAATTTGCAAAATATTCTAAATTTTCAAAATTTTCAAAATTTTCAAGATTTTCTAAATTTTGAAAATTTTCAAAATTTATAAAATTTTCGAAGTTTCCAAAGTTTTAAAAATGTTCTAACCTCAAAATTTTCTAACTTGTTGAAATTTTAAAAATTTTCGAAATTTTCCAAATTTTCGACATTTTCCAAATTTTCAAAATCTTCGAAATTTTCAGTTTTCAAAATTTTCCAAATTTTCGTGATCTTCAAAATTTACAAAATTTTCAAAATATCTTCAGGATATTCAAAATTTTCTGATCTTTCAAAATTTTTTAAGTTATCAGACTTTTCAAAAATTTTAGAATTTTCAAAATTTCCAATATTTCCAAAATTCAAAATTTTCCAACTTGTCAAAATTTTCGAAATTTTAAAAATTTTCGAAATTTTCAAAATTTCGACATTTTCAAAATTTTCTAACTATTCAAAATTTTCCAAATTTCCAAAGTTTTAAAAATGTTCTAACCTCAAAATTTTCTAACTTGTCAAAATTTTCGAAACTTTCAAAATTTTCGAAATCTTCAAAATTTACAAAATTTTCAAAATATCTTCAGAATATTCAAAATTTTCTAACCTTTCAAAATTTTTCAAGTTATCAGACTACAAAAATTTTAGAATTTTCAAAATTTCCAATATTTCCAAAATTCAAAATTTTCCAACTTGTCAAAATTTTCGAAATTTTCAAAATTTTCGAAATTTCCAGTTTTCAAAATTTGCAAAATATTCGAAATTTTCAAAATTTTCAAGATTTTCTAAATTTTGAAAATTTTCAAAATTTATAAAATTTTCGAAGTTTCCAAAGTTTTAAAAATGTTCTAACCTCAAGATTTTCTAACTTGTTGAAATTTTAAAAATTTTCGAAATTTTCCAAATTTTCGACATTTTCCAAATTTTCAAAATCTTCAAAATCTTCGAAATTTTCAGTTTTCAAAATTTTCCAAATTTTCGTGATCTTCAAAATTTACAAAATTTTCAAAATATCTTCAGGATATTCAAAATTTTCTGATCTTTCAAAATTTTTCAAGTTATCAGACTTTTCAAAAATTTTTGAATTTTCAAAATTTCCAATATTTCCAAAATTCAAAATTTTCCAACTTGTCAAAATTTTCGAAATTTTCAAAATTTCGACATTTTCAAAATTTTCAAAATTTCCAAAGTTTTAAAAATGTTCTAACCTCAAAATTTTCTAACTTGTCAAAATTTTCGAAACTTTCAAAATTTTCGAAATCTTCAAAATTTACAAAATTTTCAAAATATCTTCAGAATATTCAAAATTTTCTAACCTTTCAAAATTTTTTAAGTTATCAGACTTCAAAAATTTTAGAATTTTCAAAATTTCCAATATTTCCAAAATTCAAAATTTTCCAACTTGTCAAAATTTTCGAAATTTTCAAAATTTTCGACATTTTCAAAATTTTCTAACTATTAAAAATTTTCAAAATTTTCCAATTTTTCAAAATTTTCGAAATTTTCAGTTTTCAAAATTTTCAAAATTTTCGAAATTTTCAAAATTTTCAAAATATCTTCAGAATATTCAAGATTTTCTAACCTTTCAATTTTTTTTAAGTTATCAGACTATTCAAAAACTTTAGAATCCTCAAATTTTCCAAAATTGGCTAAATTTTCAAGGTTCTCACAATTTTCAACTTCTTCATAATTTTCAAAATCCAGCATTTTCTAAATTTTCATTCTCAAAATTCTCCAAATATATGCTTGCCAGACAGACCCGCCTGATTTCGGCGTCGCATCCTCCTTTGTCGTTAGGACGTTTCTTTAAGCTCTTAATAGCAGCCGAGGTACCCTGGCGTTTATGCTTCGCATACTGCTGTCGCAAGCGACAGTGGAACAATGTTGATATTTTTGCATTTTTATGTCCTAGAAGCTGAAAATAGGCAGATTACAAATACAAATCACTCACTTAGCCCGGGTCATCAGTTCTTGTGCTATAACTGTAAAAACACATTGTCTGGCAAAATCCAATTAACCTCGCATCATGGGATATGAACGATAAGGAAAAAAGCACCAGGTGCATGGGTATTCTCGGATAAAATTTCCACGGAGTTTATCTAAGGTTTTGTTACGGGGGACTACACAAGAATTGCGTTTTCCCAAGTTCTGCCAGTAAACAGCTAGCGGAGTAGATAATTATTGAGGACAAACTAATAGTCGTTGCGTGTGGACTTTGCCCAGTTGCTCTTCACGCCCAAGTTTGCCATTTTTAAAAGAAAACGGTACATATTGCTTTGCAGAGATCGTTGATATGTAATACAATTCTCGTTCGTATAACTCATAATCTCAGATACTCACTTTTATTTGCTCAGTTTATTGCTCGCTGGGGGATAAGATTTCTCCCCTCCTGCTTACCCAACTGCGTTACTAACAGTCTCACCTCAGCTGCGTGAGTTTTGTCGTCAGTTACTGCTTTTACCTTGACTTTATTTTGTTTATGCGGATATTCAAATTATGATCACAGACCTAAACGTCATTTTTATAGATTTTGTTTTGATCAACGTTAGCTTAGCTGTTCTTTTTTAACTCTGAAGCGCACCGAACTTTCACTGAAATAGCTTCATCTCTGTTGAAAACCGAAATGGTGGTGGTAGGTGAATTGAAAATGCATGAGTCTGACCTCGAAGGGCTTGATTCTATTTTGAAAGTAAGAGAGCCCCTCTAGAAACGCACATGCTTCAGCCAAAACTGAAGCGCTTTCCGATAAATTAAATTACAACTGCGACACGTTCTTCTGACGCAACACCATTTTTCAAAAGAAAAAAAGAGTTGACGTATCAAGCTGGCGCTTTGGAGTTGGTTCTAGACTTGAATGTCACACGTCGCTTGTCGGGAAATTTGTGTAAAAGCAGTTTATTTTTTATACTTATAACCTAGGAAAGCATTATCACAACTAATATCTTCAATTCAATATATGGATCTTTTTATATTATTTCCAACTGTACAGTTTTCATTGTTTCTGCTGTGCGGCTGTCAAAGGCAGTAACATTCTAGATATAATAAATTATACAAATGGATCCGTGAACTCAACAAATTAGGAGCCAAGCCATCATTTATCACCAAAATTGCGAATTTTTTTTACTTTTGACTCGTTTGACTAACATTGTCTACCAATAATGTATTAACATAATAATACTTACCGGTAGAAAGATCTACCTTCATCCGGCTGACATTTTAAAATCTTGGTAATTTTGAAAGCCTTGAACTTATTGAAAATTTTGAAAATCATGAAATTTTTGAAAATCTTCAAAATTTGGAAAATTTTGAAACTGAAATTTGAAAATATTGATAATATTGAAAATATATTTGAAATTTCGAAATTATTGAATATACTGAAAGCATTGAAAATATAGAAAATATTGAGAATATTGACAAATATTGAAAATATTGAAAATATTGAAAATATTGGAAATATTGAAAATATTGGAAATATTGCAAATATAGGAAATATTGAAAATATTGAAAATATTGCAAATTTTGAAAATATTGAAAATATTGAAATATTGAAAATATTGAAAATATTGAAAATATTGAAAATATTGAAAATTTTGAAAATATTGAAAATATTGAAAATATTGAAAATATTGAAAATATTGAAAATAATGTAAATATTGAAAATGTTGAAAATTTTGAAAATATTGAAAATATTGAAAATATTGAAAATATTGAAAATATTGAAAATATTGAAAATATTGAAAATATCGAAAATTTTGAAAATATTGAAAATATTGAAAATATTGAAATATTGAAAATATTGAAAATATTGAATATTGTATTGAAAATATTGAAAATATTGAAATATTGAAAATATTGAAAATATTGAAATATTGAATACTGAAAATATTGAAATATTGAAAATATTGAAAATATTGAAAATATTGAAAATATTGAATATATTGAAGATATTGAAAATATTGAAAATATTGAAACTATTGAAAATACCTATTGAAAATATTGAACATATTGAAAATATTGAAAATATTGAAAATTTTGAAAATATTGAAAATATTGAAAATATTGAAAATATTGAAAATGTGAACATGTTGAACATGTTGAACATGTTGAACATGTTGAACATGTTGAACATGTTGAACATGTTGAACATGTTGAACATGTTGAACATGTTGAACATGTTGGACATGTTGAACATGTTGAACATGTTGGACATGTTGGACATGTTGAAGATATTGAAAATATTGAAAATATTGAAAATACTGAAAATATTGAAAATATTGAAAATATTGAAAATATTGAAGATATTGAAAATATTGAAAATATTGAAAATATTGAAACTATTGAAAATACCTATTGAAAATATTGAAAATATTGAAAATATTGAAAATATTGAAAATATAGAAAATATTGAAAATATTGAAAATATTGAAAATATTGAAAATATTCAAAATTTTTAAAATATTGAAAATATTGAAAATATTGAAAATATTGAAAATATTGAAAATATTGGAAATATTGAAAATATTGAAAATATTGAAAATATTGTAATATTGAAAATATCGAACATATCGAGAATATTGAAATATTGAGGATATTGAAAATATTGAAATATTGAAAATATTGTAAATATTGAAAATATCGAACATATTGAGAATATTGAAAATATTGAAGATATTGAAAATATTGAAAATTTTGAAAATATTGAAAATATTGAAAATATTGAAGATATTAAAAATATTGAAAATATTGAAAATATTGAAAATTTTCAAAATATTGAAAATATTGAAATATTGAAAATATTGAAATATTGAAAATATTGAAAATATTGAAATATTGTAAATATTGAAAATATCGAACATATTGAGAATATTGAAAATATTGAAGATATTGAAAATATTGAATATATTGAAAATTTATGTGTGAAAAATTTTGAAAATACTGAATATTTTTTAAATTCTGATATGTTTTATATTCTGTTTCTAAAATTTTCGAATTCTTCAAGATTTTTATAATTTTGAAAATGCCAATACGCTTAAAATATTCGAAAATTTTTGAAACTTTAAAAATTTTGAATATTTTGGAAACTTTATAAATTTGGAAAAGTTTGAGATTTTGAAAAATTGGAAAATTATGGAAATTTAAAAATTATTAACGTATTTAAAACAGCGTGGTAAGTGCTACTGCAGCAGTAGATTCTTTAAGGGGGAGGCTTCGTACTTTCGGCAGTGAGAAAATTTAAAAGTACAAACGCATCATTTGGAATGTGAGATTAGCAGCGCCTTGAAATTAAAGAAAGAACTTAAGCCAATATGATGCCCAGGAATATAAAAGCGTCTGGTCACAGATTTATTTTCTCCTAAAGACGCACTTGCTAAAGCAGGGAATACAGCAAGAAACAGCAAAATGATCCTAAACCTTGTGCATACATATATGAAAAGGAGTTCGCATTATCTTTACGACATCGTAACGCTTCTATATTCCAAAGAATTGCCGGCATTTATTTAGGTAAATGGGGGCTACAGGTGGAGGATACAGCTTCAGGCTGGTACAGGTTGCCTTGTGAGAAATCTGCCAGGTGTGGTTGGAATAGAGTGCCACGCAGAGGCGTAGTTATTCCTATTATGAGAAGGTCTAAGGTTCAAGAAGGTTTTTGAGCACCGGCGTATCCAGAAAAAGTTCATGTCATGCGACATCGCAAAAAAACTGAGAATTTAAAACTCGTGCATATTGGGCCTTTTTGTAAATCTAGCAGGTGTGAAAGAGGAAACACGATTTGTGTAAAAAGTATTACATGTATTTCCTCTACTTTTTAATGAAAAAACAGAATTTGAAATTAAAAAAAAAATAAGGTACTGAACCGCAAATAAACATTTTAAACCAAAATTTAGGTAAATTCGTATTTTCAATAAATCTTCAAAACTACTGAACTGAAGAATATTAATTTTATACTATTATAAAGGGAATTGAAAGACGTTTAAAATATGGTATCACTCGACCCCCTTTTCCATTTAAGACTTTAGGGTTGGTGTCACCCCCGCTTAGGGGGCTGCACATGCTAACGTGACTTTTTGCCAAAGTTGTATCCCCCTCTAAAGAAAATCGACGGGTCTGAGCGTTTTTTAAAAAAAAACTGAGCTGCCACCCAGTATTTAATGAATTGTATTGATGTAATCAATGGACGTACGTCGATGATAAAATCACGATTTCATGAATTGTTTCACTGATAATTTCTATTTTCATTTAATTTCATGGTTTTAAGTGATACCTTCATTAGTGGTGAGTTTATGTTTTGAAAGAAACAGTTATGAGTAGAATACACCTTAAAACATTAACACCAAAAACCAAAGTATTATTAGAAAACAACCTAACCTGCTTTAACATAACCTAACTATTCATCTTTCAAATATGATCGATCATGCAATGTGAAAACATCGTCTATCTGTGTAGGATACATGCAAAGTACCTATACAGTTTGTTTAGACAATAATAAAAATATGTCTGCCTCTGTCTAACATATTTGAAACGTCATTAAAAATATTCACAAATCGCTGTCATTTGTCTTTACTACAGATCAAAATAATGACGTGGTGATTCCAACTATACTAGAAGAGTGTTCGAAAATTTTTGACTGTTGCCATTAAATTCATATTTATAGTGTTCTTTTTAAAAAAATGCGGAAGTTGCAGATAATTGTGGTGTTAGACTATTTCCTACATAAGCACAAGATTGATGAAGGTAGATTTCTTCACCGGTATATATTCCTGTGTTGATACAACGCTGTCACTTTGGTAAACATTGGTAGTCGAAAAGAATACATTAAGCTCAGGCAATTTTGGCGACAAACAATGCATTGTAAACATATAATCTTAGTTTGACATAAACAAGTGCTATCTGTCAGTTTAAGTTGCACTTACATAATGGTGCCGCTTGACCTTTCGCAACGTACGTCACTGACGAGAGATGAGACGGTAGAGTGCAGTAATTTGATAGAGATATTGGAGATCGCATGTAGTACGATGTTATGAGCTTCCTACAACGATGTTTTGTTTTGTATTAAAACTGCAGGGGATATAAATAGATGAAGTAGCTCAAAAGAAGACCTTGCAATACTGCACGCGGCAGCAAGGCGAACATCGTTTATTTAACAATGAAAGAGGAATAATAGGGTGTAAGCCTGGCTTGACGTCATTTTAGGTAAAGAAAAATCGGAGAAGACATACTTTCTTTGGGATTTAATAATCCTGTACAAGCTGGCTTATATACCGGATAGCTCAGGTATTTCGCTTTTACAGTTAGAAACAATGATTAAAAGTTCGACTGGAAGACTGCAAGCTTTTCCAGCATGCTTGTTCAATCTTTATGTACCAGCACGCTTGAATATCTTTAGAAAACGGTGGTGGAAGCTTTGTATCTGTAGAAACTATGATAGTATAAAATAATGTAGAGCACCTCTGTACCGGAAATTCTAAAACATACGTGTAGCGTAAGCTACACTGGCTTGTGCCATAGGGCGTGCGCCCGTGAGATGCCCATGGGGACGCTTAGAGGCCAAAATAATCAACAGACTGTTTCGACGACGCAAGGTCATCAACGTGTATACGCACCGAGCACTCCCGGATCGAAGCGGATCTAAAGCAATAACAGTAATAGTTATGTCAACATAATTACGTGTGACAACTGATCCACGGGCGTAGCGTTTCCGTGAAGTAGGCTGTGGTGACTCCATCTCTCCGAGACACGACGGAACAGGCCCTCTACGACACCTTCGTCGTTGCTGCAGCCACCGCCAGCCAGTTAGGTGTTGATCCCCGCGTGCGTCACATCGCGCTCATTAATATCGTTGATTCAATTTGTATTTGTTTAGCGTGTTGAATGTATCCATTGTTACTGGAATGTCTATTTTATTCCCCAATCACAACCCACCGACACAATTAGAATACATCATCAGAAGCTTAAATGCTAGGACAGTCCGGTTTATATGAGGATCCCAAAGAAATTTTGTTAATCCACTTTTTGATCTGCCTAGGGTTAGTAGAACTGGGAAAAGCTTCCTCTTGTAGATTGTTCCTGAATTTCTGCATGAAGAGTACTGTAACCAGCAAAGGTGTGGATTGTGTTGATGGTACAGGAAATGAGGTACTTGATATGAAAGAGGAACAGTGTCGGAGCCAAGATCGATCACTGGGGAACACCCGCGTTGACGTTGTGGGATGACGAGGAGAATCCGTCAACTACGACTGATATCCTGCGGCCAGAGATAAAGTCAGATACCCATCTGAAAAGGTTTTCTGGGAGGCCATAGGATGGAAGTTTGCTTAAGAGGGCAGCTGATCGAACGCTTTCCATCACCTTATTTATAACAGAAAGCAGAGCTATAGACCTGTAGTCTTAGAGGTCGGTCTTGTATCTTTTTTTGCGATGGGCTGGATATGAGCAAATTTTCCAGATTTCTGGGAATGTGCCGGTTGAGAAAGCAAGCAAGCTGGCGCGTGTAAGGCCTTACAGGGTCGTCACTTGTGACATGTTAACAAATAAAACTCAGTAAAAATGACTTTATCTGAATGAAGCTTCGTATACAGTTAGGCATATGCCAGAATGAGTCGAGATTATATTTTGGAGTGAAACCATCTGTGTAATTGCTAGATTTCGTCGCCGATGGCGTATACGTTTATCCAGTCGCCGAGGCATGGTTCCTAGAGGGTATTTTTCATTTTCTTGAGATATCTGACCTCAAGTTAGCTGAAAACTGGCTAGCGCTTGTGGAGGATGATACAAACATGTAACTGTTCTTTTCTTCATATCCCACACATGTCTTGAGATCTAGGAGGACAAAAGTAGATTCCTCAAGCGTTTGGAAAAATTATTTCCTGGATATACGTTTGCTCTATCATACTGCCTCAGGCGACGTCCCAGACCATAACTCCGACAGTTTGGTGAGGTTGACGTTCAAATGGCAACTCCACATGTGGTCTTTCTCCGCGATAACTTCAGACTCACACTCATCCATGATGGATCTATATACAGAACCGCAATCGAGAAAGTATAGATAATGAATGGTATAAAACGTTTTCTGTAAAGATTTCGATCCCTTTTAAGGAATGCATAGTAGATGGCGGTGTGAAGAAACACGTAGTCTTGAGCTTCCAAGTGAACGCCACAGTGGAAGTTAAAGCTTGCGGCGTTGGTTGACTTGGTGTTATGTCTACGAAAGTCTGTCACGTTTGGTCCCAATTATCTCTTTGTATTTCGAAAAGCCATC